AAATCACCTTTTCAGAAATGGTACTGAATGTGTTGTCAAAGCAGAACATGTAATCCCCATCTTCTGTTTCCACCCTGTTTATGTAAGCAAAATGTCACTAAATTAACTACACTTTTTGTGCTGGTTCTCAAAAAGCAAGTTTTTGTAAGCAAACTTTCCTCTTTAAGACTGACAGTTGTGCACTTAGAAATAACTGAATATGCTTTTTATATAAAAAAACTCTAAAGACACATTACAGATTGCACAGTCACAGGAAAACAATCCCACTGACTCTAAAGGCTTAAAATGATGAAGACAGCAGCTTTCATTTTCCCTATTGGGATTTTGAATCCTTATTAATTGTTACAAAAAAGCTATAATATGAGTGGGATTCTTATACCCTGTAGTAAAATTACAATAATTACTACATATTTTGATAAAAGGACTGAAAAAATAGGAAACTTTTCAGCTTATTATTTATATGACTGATAAGATCTTTTGATATTAGATGCAGAGACCTTTTTCAACTCCACAATAATTATTTTTGTTCACTGACCATTAACAGCTATCATCAAAACAAAAATATCCTTCACTTCATGGTAAGATCCACATAAAAAGCATTCAGTGTTTATAAAAAGGTAACTGGTGTTCTCAAACTGTCCTATTAGAAAGTGTTTTGTAATACTAAGGAACAATAAGTACTCAACCTTTATTTTAGGCGTATTTGTTAAAGAAACCAGAAAAGTATTTATGTAACACTTCTAAGTTTGAAGATTTTAAACTTACGTATGAACTCCATCTGATTTTCTTTCATCAAAAACTAGAGTTTCACCTTTTGGAGACAGTAGATGAAAATCAACATCTAATCCTGCTCCATCTAGAACCTGTGAAACAAACAAAAAAAACCCTGCAACCAGTAGAATTCCTGTTTGCATAGCTGATGGCAACATTTTTAGGGAAGGCAAACATTTTTAGGTAAAGGAACAGACACAGAAAGAATCTGAAAGCTGAATCTGTATGAGTTCACACCAAGTTAATTGGAAGCAGATTAAAAACTGGTTCAACCCAAAAGCATTTTAGCCATTTAAAATTTTAAACTAAATATGATCTAATCATGCTAGGCTGGGCTTATATTGAACCCTTCCCTAATTGTTTTTAAGAATGCATACAATTTTGTCAATGGGCAGGGTTAGACAACCTGTAAGAATACCAGCAGTAGTACCACACCTAGTATTTCTATGGCGGACATCATCGATGGGTAAGTACTAGTGCTAGTTCAGAAATTTTATAACAAAGGTCTGTCACTTTTATGTATATATGCATATGTATTTGTACAAGAACAGTCTATGAAGTGTAATCCCTAAGATCTCTTTGTTGGGAGAATTAACAGTGTAGAAGACGGGACTAGACTTCTTATGCCAATCAAAGCTGTACCACAGACCTTCTCACCTTTTAAAGCAGATTTAAGGTCTGAATTCTCCCAGGGCATTCTCATTTCCCAAAGGCAGAAGGAATTGAAGGCATTTAGCCTCCTAAGCTGATAATAAGTGTATACAGTATTACAAAGCTGTGCTGCTTTAACTGTATAACATGGCTACACTTGTATCACCACATCTGCTGTATTGTAGAAGTTCTATATAGGGAAAGTAGTAACTGCATAAGGGGGGTGAGAGGGCTCATTTTTATGACATTACTTAGGTCCATGCTAGGGCAGTTTTTTGTTTGCTTGTTTTCCAGTGAGCTATTCGAGTATAGCAGTCTGTTCCTGCTGAAATTGAGGGCAAAGTTTACACTGACTTAAAGTGACACTGGAGACTTACCAAAAAAAGAGAAACGACAAGGCAAATTAGTAGCTAACAGCTGATTAAATTAAAAAATATACATAGGGATATACCTTTAGGGCTATGATACAATCTAAACACCCGGAACAAAACTTTGTATCAGCATTGTGTTTATTGCATTATGTCTTTGAATAATGACCTGCATCCTGCATTAAAACATTCCTATCCTTTAGCCACTCACAATTTAGAATAATTAAGTACAAAGTAAATCTATTTCCAATAACATACAGAGCTCCTTTTCTACACATTCAAAAAGAAAGGTGAATCGCTACTGTTAGCAGTAGTGCTGAGAAATTTATGCCTGTGTAAGAATAAATTCAGTTATGCACATTTGTTCTCTCTGAAATAAAATTTTTGATTATGATTAAAATAAAATCCTACTTTGTCAGTGCAAAATAAACTTCCATTGTGCTTAGACACGGCTCTGAACAAAGCTTGAACACCTCAATCTTTCATTCTTGTGCAGTTCCACATGTAACAATAATTAGAAAATAACCAGGAATTTCAGGTTTGTGGTTTTAGTTGGGAGGCAGAGGGGAAAAAAAGGGAGGGAGGGGGAAGAGAGAGACAGATCCCGGCCAGTTCTGAGGCACAGTAGCAGGATGGGAAAATATTCACTGGACCTTCCCCTCACTGTGCTTGTTCTGCTGAAAAAAAGTCGTTAATTTAGGGAAAGAAAAAAACCCTTTTCCAGAGATATCTGGGGAACTCTACTCTCCCCAAGAAGGGCATCACGGCCTTAACACTAGTCTAGTTAAATAAGACTGTTTTTAAAAAACTTTCACCATCGAGATAAAAGGTGTTTAATATCAACACAAAGATAGGTACGTAAGGGTTTTGTGCATCAGCAACAATTTCGGTTGTGCTTCAGAGCTACTGCACAAGGTCACAGCCGTTAACTTCCTACATTTTTGCGTTCTGAAGGATGGCAACGTGACATCTTGTGAGGTAAAAAAACCCCCCACCCCATCAGAATAATTTAAAAAAAGGCTGCAAACGTGTATTTTTTCCCCCTCCCAAAGATGCAGCTCTCAGCAGCGGGTAATTCCGAGGGGGATCTGTGGGCGCTACGCGGGGCCCGCAGAGCCGCGCACGGCGGTGAGCGCCGGCAGGGCGCCCGCCCTGCCCGGCCCAGGACGTGCGGGC